GTGATGTGTGGTGTTAAAGAGTTGTGTTGCCTGCCGGCCCCCTGCTGTACGTGCTGCAAAAGGGCGTGCTGCCTTGTGGTGGTGGTTGGCGGCGTCGCGGGGGAGGGATGCGACGTATTGCTGTGTTGTTAGGGTGTGGGTGTGTTGATTGTGTGCTGCCCAGGCGGGTGGTGGTTTGCCGTGGAGACGGTCCGGTTCGCACAGAACCAAGAACGACGTGGTCCATTGCCGGTGCGTACGCAGGCCCGAGCAGTTACGAAGGGGACTCCACCCGTCACAGGCATTGCACCTGACCGAGGTGGAGTTTGTATGCAGTCGTCTCTGGCATACGCGGCAGGTGTAGATTTCTGGCCCTGACAGAAGGGTGCGGAGAAGGTGTAGCCCTAGGATCGTGCAACGTTTGATGGATTTCGTTGACCTAAACGGGGTTAGATCGCCAAAACAACAGCCCTTGGTCGGGTAAAAACCGAGTCATTCCGGTACGTAGAACCGGCTGTCGTGGGAATGCTGCTAAATTCTCAGAACGTTTGCTGCTGGAGAATTGTGTCCTCTCAATACGAGTACACACCTATTACTAGTTGCGGTCGATAACAAAATTAGCCAACAATCAAAATCAAGAGCGTAAGCGAAAATTCTCTCCCAAAGAAAAGAAAAAGCAAAAAAGTAAACGAACAGGAAATTAGACATCACTTGCAAAAACCGGAAGAAGACACATTAGCTGACTTTGTTTATGTTTTATTTGTAAACAAACTGAAATTCATGTTTCCTCCATGGAAGAAAAAAGGAAAGTGAACGTTCAATGTTCGCCAGGAACATTTCTAGAAGTAAAAACTAGTTGGCGCTATCATAAAGTCACATAGAAGGCAGCCAAAAAGCGTATAAATACCAAAACTCGAAAAATGCAATATTGTTTGTTTACAAAAATTGCAACCATATGTTCTANTAAAAACTAGTTGGCGCTATCATAAAGTCACATAGAAGGCAGCCAAAAAGCGTATAAATACCAAAACTCGAAAAATGCAATATTGTTTGTTTACAAAAATTGCAACCATATGTTCTATGATCATATGTTTTCGTGTTGGATAATTTTTGCTGACTAAAATTTTGCCAGTACAAAATGAACGCTTCTCTTGCATCAAAATGAACGCTTGCTCTCTCAATTTTTGCGTGTTGGATAGTTTTTTGTCGTTATCGAACGCCATCCAGTAAAAATTTGGAAAAACTATTACAAATTTTTGACTTGTCGAACGCAACTATTAATACATTAACTTAAATCATAAATTTTCCATGAACTTCGGTTTTAACACCAACATCTGTTATCTTGTTTATACCGACACATAAAGCGCTGTGACTCAGTTCGGTGTGGTTCAAATCAGATGCATAAACAAAACTTCAATGCGCGTTCAAGTCGAAAAGTGTATTGACTCAAATTTGTTTTCAAATCGATTTTTTATTTCTCACATCGGTTAGAAAACCCGTATAAACGAATAACTCATTTAACGCAAAATCAAAATTGGCTATTTTTCTTTATGCAGCCCGTTTTTAATTGTATTTATTATTATAATAAATTTGTATTGCTGTTCGCTTCCATTTCGGTCCACCGCGCAAATTTATTATTAAATAAATATCGAATAAAAGTAACGAAGTTTGTTTACTTTTCAATACGGTTTAATCGAGTGCGCTATAAAGACCGAGGAATAAACGTTAGAAAGAAATATGTGTTGAATCAAATCGGTTTTTTGTTAATGCGGTTTCTTCATAGGTATAAATAAGGTATGTGTTCATTTCCAAAACTACCAAGTAATCAATGAAATTTGTATGGTGAATTCTGCAAATTTAAAAGGTAATAGTTGCGTTTGTTTACTCATTTCCAGTAAAATCCAGTAAAAGTTTTTACGAATTTTCATGTTTTGGCGTTTTCGTACGCAAAAACTTGCAAACTAGGGGAAATTGAGAGAGCGAAAAATGACAGTTGAAGTTGCAAGTTTTTACTGGATTTTACTGGATCAACTTTTACTTGTAAGAATTTGCCAGTAAGAAAAACAGCTGATCGCATGTTGCTGGATGAAATTTAAACTAACAAGGAAACTATTTGTGGGTTTTTATTGTGGAAATTCACAAAATAAACATTTTTAAATATAAAATATATTGTTTTATTAGGAATATGCTGCGAATAAACAACCAATTTATCAGCTGTTCATGCAACTTGCAAATTTTTAGTGGAGTAGCGTTCGCGTACTTTTTTGTAAATTTCTTCTGAGCGAATTCTTAGAAATAAAGTTACTGGAGAGTTTCTGGCAAGTTACTGGATAATTTGTAAACAAACACAACTATTAACTTTTTAAATAGAAGCCTCCGCGCTCTGGGGTTTTCACTTTTAGAATTGGAAAAAGCTCCTCCACACGTCCTCATTTTTTTTTTTCAAATTTGTGACGAATTTAAGGAAAAATTTCCCATTTTTTATAAAAAAAACGCGCTTTTAAAAAAAACTACTTAGATAAATAACACAAATTTCTATAAAAAATCAAGCGATTTTTTATTAAAAATTCCAGCCTGCGGCGCTCTTTTCAAAAAGAAAAATAATAATTTTATAAATAAATAATGATAAATTTTCGCCTGCGGCGCTTTCTTATACAATTCGATAAATAATGAAATTTTTTATTAAAATCAATGGGGCGTATTCTTGTTTTCGTACGAATCGAAAAACAATAAATTTTCGGTAATTCTGTAGTATAGGGTAACAACCGCTAAATAAGGTCCGGAAAAGTCGGGAAAGGGTACCAAACGACGCGTTTCGGTCCCCCTATTAACAATCCGGAGGGGAAGGGCTAATATTAGTTGCGATCCCATACGAGTCCGGACTAGTCAGAAACAGTCAGATTTTACTGGAAATCGATCCCGTACTCGGTTCTCCGACTATTGAGAGGACAAAAAAAGAGAGTAAATACGGTTCCCTCTCTGTCAGAAGTTACCAGTTTTAGTCCGAGAATTTTTTGTTGGTAAATTCTGGTAAATGTGTCAAACGATCAGCTGTAGTGTGTTTGGCAACCAAATTGTAAACAAAAGAAAAGTGCACTCTGCTAATTCATGTTGAAAAGTAGTTAATTACTTGTTTTAAGTGGATTCTAATGAATTTGAAAGTATTTTTGGCTATTTAAATGTGTGAGCTGAGTTTGTTTACATACAAAATAAGCAAAAATTTACAACCAAAATTTGGAGGTTATGTTTAAGTTGACAGAAGTTACCATTTTTTACTAGAAAGCGATCCCGTACTTTTCAATGTTACTCTCTCGCTCTGAGCGAATTTTTATTTTTAGACAGTTTTACTAGTCCGAGTCCGAGGAATACGGGATTGCTCGTATTATTAATCATTTAAAAGTTATATACAAAAAACTTTTGTTAAATTTCGTTTTCTACGAGCAATTACCACGTCGAAAATGCACTAAATCACCAGTTTCCACTTTTAAAACACTATTAAAACGTCTCCGGTTATTGTTTTTTGCAATCAAAATCATTTATTCACTTTTATTTTATATATTTCGTTAATATACAGAGTAAACAAACTTTGCGCCTACCAAAATTATTATAACCTCAAATCGCTGGTATTTCACATTTCTTTTGCGCTATTACCCTCGGTTTACACTATACACTTCTTCCTCTTTATTTACTTTCACCTAAATCCAATATTCTAAACAAAATATAATAGCAAATTTCGCTATACCATGGCAGCGCTACTTTTATGGTTTAGTTATTTCAACTGAAATTAAAAGTAAGCGTCATGGAGTGCCACAAGTTTTATTTTACCATTAAAACCTTTCATTATTTATCGAAATATTGATTTTTATGGAAAAAAGGCGCAGGCGAAAATCGCGCGATTTTTTATTTAAAAATCTTCATTATTTATCGAAGTACTGATTTGTATGGGAAAAGCGCCGCAGGCGAAAATTTGTAATAAAAAATCGCGCGATTTTTTATTAAAAATTTTCATAATTTATATATATAATATATATATCAAACGAAAGAAGATACCGAAAAGCATTGAATACTGCACACCCCTTGTTAGGAAAAGTGAATTATTACGAAATACTAATACAGTGGCAGCACTATAGCTATTTTGGAATCTCGCAAAGATTGTCAACTTCTTTTTAGTAACAAAATAATCTATCTTAGGTTGATAAAACTATGTGTTTGTTTAATAATTAAGTTAAATTATATATTTTAGTAGTGTTTAAAAAGTGAGAACAGGTGATTTAGTGAGTCTTTATCGGGGTAATTGCCCATATAAAACAACGAAATTTAACAAAGTTTTTTGTTTATAACATTTAAATGGTTAACAATATTAGCCCTCCCATTCCGGACTGTTAATACCGGGACCCAAACGCGTCGATTGGTACCCCTCCCGACATTTCCGAAATTAGCGTTTGTAACCCTATACTAGAGAATTACCAAGTTTTAATCTCATTTTCTATACAAAAATTTCAAATTTTCGATTTGCACGAAATCCAGAATATGCCGCAATACTTCGCCTGCGTCGCTTTTTTTTATATAAAACAGTATTCAATAAAGGTGAATTCAAAAACCCCCCACGTTTTGGTGTTCATTTCCACCACTTCCATTTAATCAGTGAAATTTGTATGGTGAATCGTGCAACTTTACTAAAAGTTAATAACTTTTTAAATAAAAGCCTCCGCGCCCTGGGGTTTTCACTTTAAGAATCGTAAAAAGCGCTTCTATACGGCCTATTTTTTCAAATTATGACCGAATTTAAGGAAAATTTTCCTAAGCTGTACAAGGCAAGGCGATTTTTGCTTTCAACTAAATGTTGCCGGTCAAATCGCCTCATGTAAACACCCTTTAACGGATACTTGAGTATTATTTCAGTAAACATGTTTGTATGCATTTTTGTTCCGGCAATTTTAGTTTTTCACACTAACTTATGAGCTTTTATAAACGGTTACCTCCATTAACAATATCACGTTAATGATTGTTATTTACATTACCTTCTTTCTCAAAAGGGACACTAAAATTTTACGTCTAATCGATCACTTCAGTTCATACCGAGATATTGTCATATACACATTTTCTTGCTTCCTTTCGCTTCTTTTATTTCATCGATATCATTCTCTTCCACGTTAAACAGAACCCGAAAAGATATATTGCATTTAACCTTATGTTTTTACTACAATAATTTTAGCACTTAACAAATAATAAGCGCGAATTAATTCAAAGGGAATTAATTTTAGGAAACCAAGCAATGCTATCTCCCAGAATATATGTACATCCAATCGGCAACAATCAACTTTCAGCAGTACTATAGCGCTGAACATTTTTATTTTGACGCCGGCAAAAACTTTGCTAAATAGGCCCTATTTCAAAAAAAAGAGTACAAGCCTTACGTCGCGTCTACACAGACAAAATTTTTTATCATGATTTTGTTAGACATTACGGGCAATTTTCCAGTCATTAGTTAACTACTAGAAAAATAGCGGTTTTTAACTATGGGTTAACTAATGGATGCGCATTAGTCAACTGCAGACAACCATTAGTGAAACTGATAGTAAGGGTATTCATCAAACTTTACAAATGCATTGTAAACCGTATAAACTTATAATTGTGTAAACCTTATAAATGAACTGTCAAAATTTGTATGGAAAGTCGTTTACACATTTCTGACAAATTTCTCCAGCGATTTCACTGAATAAACTTGATAAGCTGAAGTCAATGCAACTCTGTCGCAACTCTAGCTATGTTTTCTTGGGCAATGATCGGGATCCGCATAAAAATCTTGCACGCAAATTCAACAACAACGATGTGATCCTGGTAGAGATCTGGTTCAATTATTATCCGTTCTGTTTGTTTTGTTTCACTGATAATTTGGCCGCAAAGTTTGGTAGCCGTGACAACTGAATTCATACACAAACAGACATTCTGTCATTGTTTATTTTAACTTGTTTCAAATAAACAGCCTTTATGTTATATTTAGTGAGTTAGTTTCTATAATTTCTTTATCCTCGTGTAGTACTATAAAGTTAGTAATACTGAGCTCTATATCCAAAGAAAACACGACTATAGTCGCATGTGTAAACGAAAAGAGAGTGTGGGACGTTCACATGAACTAAAAATACAAGATCACGTAAGAACGCGACGTTGTATTTGTAACTGGTTTTGAGAAAAAAGTTTGCGAAAGCGGGTTCGTCAGCTGAGCGTTTGTTTACATCACAAGCACCACTATTTTACACCTTTATTCAAGTAAAGGAGAGTTAATTCAACATGACAACACATTTTAAAGCATTTTGTTGCATCATTTTACCTAAATTGTGCGTTTAAAGTAGCTGACAATAGTTGCGTTCCAGATGCTTCACGATTTGCAGGTGTTTACAAGAAGTCGTACCAGGTGACCACCTCCCATAAAGTTTATTAATGGAGAAAACAGCTGTTCCTGCAAATCGTGAATTTCGTGAACATCGTGAAGCATCTGGAACGCAACTAATAATTTTGCGTGCAGCCTCTATAGGTTCTGTCCACAGGGACAGTGACGTCAGTGAGGTGTTTTCCGGGCATACGAAGTGATGTTTCGAGTCGTGGGGGGAGAGACATGCCGGGCACTCATTTGGCACACCTGCATACGATGGCGTAGCCAGGTAGGGGCGGGAGGCGCCCCCTAACTTCCAAATTGTCGAACAAGTGCAGTGTAGAAGCCGTTGAGAAAAAATAAAAATAGAAAGTGGGCGCGGTCCGCTCCTTTTTACTGATTTTAAAGGTGTAAACCATTTTGGGTGGAAATTAATAGGGGCGGAGCTAAAGGGGGGTTAAGGTGAAATTTTCAATATCCTCAAAAGCTTATATATCGAAAACTATTGCACCGATTTTCAAATCGGGGCTATGGTTGAAAAGATAATTGAAACGACTTTATTTGGTATGAATATCTATGTATATATATATTGTAAACATATTTCGAAAACACTAAAAAAACGAAACTATAACCATTTTTTGATAAAAATGTGCGTTTTTTCTAAAAAATATACGTAATTAACTATATGTAAAAATACTATTTTTAAAAAGTGCATAAACATACCTTTAATTTGATGTATGCTGTGTCGCAAAAATTCTTTTGTATTGCAAAATTAAATTTTGATGAACAGTTACATTTCGTTGAATTGAAAAAGGCTTTAATTTACCATTTTATTATGTACAGATGCGAAATAGGAAGGCTTGAGTTTGCATTTTTAAAATCAAGACGAAGATGTACATGACATAAAAAGTGTGTTTTTATTGCAAATAAAGATGTAAGTATACATATTGTAACTATATAAATGAAACAAGTAAGAAAGTCTAAGTTCGGGCGGAGCCTTTGGCCGCGCTTAAGGATTATAACTTTTACTACTCAGAATTCTCCTTTCTGTGTTGCCAGGAAAAAGGGGCAGAACTTCTTTCTGCGTAGGCGGCCTTGGGCCGCAATCAGGGATTATAACCCTCACGAAGTAGAATTCTCCTTTCTCTGTTGTCAGGAAAAAGGGGCGGAAGTATTTTTGCGCCGAACTTCGTTTTGCGTAGGCGGCCTTCTGCCGCGCTTAGGGCTTATAGCCCTCACGAAGTAGAATTCTCCTTTCTGTATTGCCGGAAAAGGGGGTGCGGAAGTATTTTTGCGCAGAACTTGTTTCTGCGTAGACGGCCTTTGGCCGCGCTTAGGGATTATAACCATCACGAAGTAGAATTCTCCTTTCTGTGCTGCCGAAGAAGAGGGGCTGAACACCTTTTGCGGAGAACACCTCTCTGCGTAGGCGGCCTTCGACCGCACTTAGGGATTATAACCCTCACGAAGTAAAATTCTCCTTTTGGTGTTGCCGTTTTATATGGAAAAAAGCCTCAGGCAACATGTGCTTAAACCTAACTATATAAAATAATATATCAATTTAAAGGTATTTCTCAACTCTTTCTAATAAACACATCACTTAATATAGTTATTTATGCATTTTTTTAGAAAAACGCTCAATTTTATTTAAAAAAATGGTTATAATTTCGTTTTTTAGTTTTTCCCGAAATATGTATATAAAATATATAAAGATATGCATATCAAATAAAAGGTATGTATATTAATTACCTTTCCAACCATATCCATGAAAATCTGTGAAACAGTTTTGGAAATATAAGCTTTTGAAAATATTGAAAATTCCACCTTAATATTATAAGTTATTCTCGCTAACTTCAAAAAATTTCCATTTAAAAAGGGTAAAAGCGTAGCTGCAGTGGACAATGAGCGAAAATGGATTGAACGGTAAACTAATAAATAAATTTATAGGTCAATTGTTTATTACTTTTTCTTTAGGTTTGTGTCTTCTAAGCGTACATCGAATGTTTTGTATCAGAGAACCAATCTGAGATTATTGATAAAACTATAGACCGGTTTGGTGAACAGCCAAGATGTTTACTTCTTAAGTAATAACAGCAGCTGGCAGAAATCATATAGCGCACATAAATTTCTATAATAAAAATAGCATATTAGAGGCTGCTAATATATCTATTTTAAATTATAGTTAACTCATTAGTTAAACTTTACTACAGAAAAACTACACAGAAATTTCTTTAGTTAAGTTTAACTAATGATTTAAGTATACTTTAAAATAGATAAGCTAACAGCCCTTAATGTATTTTTTATTTAGTATACGGTGAGACAAAACAAAATCAAGTAATATATTTAGAATAAATGAATATACCAGCATACAAAATCTGCATACTCGAAATGTTCAATACGTCCTCATATTTAGACTGTTCCTTTGAACTTCGGACTAAAACCTGTGGAACTGTCAAACTACAATTTTACTCTCTCAAATGAGAGTAAAAGGAGAACAGATGCAGAAGTGCATAGGAACGCAAAAAGCACTATTT